ATGCTAAAAATAACATGGGTTGAGAAACTGGGCACTTCTCTATTTCTTCGTCATGGAAGTCCTAACTCATATTTCGCCTATGAAATGTTGGGCAACCTGGCTCTTTCCAAATCAAAGATGTTTGTTTAAGAGATAAACAGCAACATCAATAGAAATGGACAGCTACATTAGGAGGTCTGATCCTGGGTCCCCCCACCTCATCCTTGCTCTGGCCACCCTTACCAGGTCAGCCGGTCATACTCGTTCTCCAACTTATAAATGAAACTCCCCAGTGAGTTCTTCAGATCAGCTGCTTGACTCAGCAGTGCATCTAATGATGCCTCAAGCTGCTTCTCTTCCCTCTGCATCAATAGGAACAGGTTGGTTACCCAAATAGATGTGAACAGGATACATACAGAAGAATGTTAACAAGCTAAGTTGTTTTCTATCTTTGGTATTTGGATTACAGACTGCATCAACATTAGAACTTTAAACCAGCTCACTTGACTCCAACTCCTGTCAACAGATTCCTTCTTTTATTACTTCATAATTCCTGTGTGTTTTTGTCTGTTAGATACATCCTACTCTGTCATGAAAAATTTTCACCAGACTGAATGCCTGGACACCTCTCTAGCTCATGCACACTGTCTTCCTCAGCCTTAGAATCTATTTTGATAGCCTGCCTACTCTTATTAAAGACACAATCTCTTGAAATTCTGCCTATAGGGGCTGGGGATTTAGCTCAGCGGCATAAGTGCCTGCGTTACAAGCAGGCAGTCGTAAATTCAATCCTCGGTACCGGTAAAAAGGAAAAAGACAAAAAAAAAATTCTGCCTCTAGATGAAACTTTCTCTAAATATCACCTCAGCAGTCTCCTTACCTAGCCCCTCAGCTTTTCATTTATCCTCAATATTTGATGCTTCAACCTTCTTTTTGCAAACTTAATCGATTCATTTATTTCTAAATTCCTGAGCCTCTTTTTATAAGCTCAGTTGATCTGCAAATATTTTACTGATAGGTTAGCAGGCGTAAGAAGCTGACAAACGGAAAACAAAACCAAGAAAACCTGCACGCGTTTCTGTGCACTAGACAAAACTATTTCAAATGCTGGGCGTCCGCAAAGCATTTCCGTCCTATGATTTGTGGTCTCCTGCTTTTACTCTATTCCTTCACCCTTGGCAAAGCATGGTACGAAATAGTCTTGCAGGCTTTACAGTGTGCCCATCAGGGTTTGATCCTGGGTTCCACCCACATCCTCTGATAATAAACAGGTTAGCTTTGGGTCTCTGCGGTCCACAATTTCTTTTTGTTCTTCGGCTTCTCTCCAATTACCCATCTCCAATTACATGTTCATCCAACAGCCTTGCTTGAGCGGAGCTAGCCCAACACTTTATTGAGCTGTGTTTTCTTCGCCTGCATCTCAGCTTTCTCAGATGACAACCGGATCCTTTACCACACTCAAGCAAGTCAGCTGTCTTCATCATCTCGACTTAGCCAAGTCTGTTCCTTTCCCATCAGCCTGACTCAACTATCTCTCATCGCCACCGCTCTCAGTCTAGCTACCTCGCCTTTTCCTTCTCATTTTCCTTCCTTTTAACAACTGTGGGCTCCACAACCCCTCCGTCTTAGCAAGCCCACTCTCAGCCCCGACACCCAAGCCTACTAGCTGCCAATAGGCCCATGCGAGTTCTCACCTGCATTACAGCGACCTAGGGTACCACCACAAATTCCTCTTCCGGTTTCTCAGTCACCTGGCGCCGCGGAGGAGGCTTCGTCCGCCAATCAGAATGCTTAGAACTCGGACTTCCTACGTATTTCCGTTTCCTGCCGGACGCGGAGATAACCAGGTCAGAGGTCAGGAGTGGCAAGTCCCGTTTCTGGCCTCGGCCGGCGCGGGAGGGCTGTATGATGGCCTCGGAGCGCCCGGAGCCGGAGGTGAGGGGCTGGCGGGCGCAGTGCTGGGCCCCGACACACGAGGGGGAGGATCCGAAGGGCAGGTGTGGCGTCCTCCCGCGTAGCTTTTGCAGGGACCGGCAGACTCCGAAGGCCAGACCGTGGAAATGATTTCCTCACGGTCCGCAAATTCATTGAGAGCCTAGAGAAGAAATTCTTCGCCGTGTTTACTGAAATTTCATCTTTGTCGCCGACCCTTTGACTTACTAATAGAATAATAGCGGTAGTAACAAACCTGTGTTTTGATTACTTGTTGCAGTTTCATTGCACAGCACGACAGGGTACTAACCTTGCCGGTTTCTGTGTTTTTTTCAAACACTGAAATGCAATAAAAATTGTGCGTTAATATAGTTCCGGCGCTCATGCTTTTAGAAAAGTAGCTTGGGTTTCATGAAAAAAAGTATTTGAATCGGAGGGAGACCTCGTTCCGACATTGGCGCTAACATTTTTTATCTATCTGTGCAACCATGGGCATGTTTTAACTTCCCAGATCCTATTTCCTTTTTTATTAAATACTTGCTATATATACTATCTTGTGAAGATCACCTGTGTTAAACCTAGAAAGGGATATGAAGTCTCTGTTAAACGCTAAGGACCATGCAAGGGACGTTATATAGATTGTGTCATTTAGACTTGTGGAAGGGAGGGGATGATATTTATTCTCAGTTACAGAGAAGAAAATTGAGAAGTCAAGGAAGTCTTTTACCTATGAACTGTTGAGTTGGGAAATGGTAGGATTTTGGAATTAGAAGATCTGAGCAAAAACTCAGATTTGAATAGAGATGCCCAGTATTATAAGTGAAAGTACCGGTAGTTGGAAAGGGTGAGGGATATGCAAATCAATCCAAATAGTGGTCATTACTGTTTGCTATTTGCTGCGTGCGAGAAAGCATGCTAAATACTATACTGATAGCAGTCCTCTCAACCTATGAGATAAACACGTTGCTATCCCTAATTTTCAATCAAGAACACTCAGGCACAGAGAGCTTTTAAGAAAATTATATAGCTATCTCAAAAATTTTTTTAGAAATTATTTATTTTAGAATAATAAATTTTATTAGCAACAATGGCAAGTGTATACTATTTGGAATATAAGTATTTAAAATACTGATTTCAGTTCAGGGATTAAGTTTAACGGCACAAGGGCCTGCGCGAGGTCATGAGTTTGATCCCTGGTACCAAAAAATAAAATAAAATAAAGTAGTGATTTTTGGAGTAAAGGACTTAATGGGTAACAATGGATGAAATAGGTTTAAACTCAAGAAATCTGAATTATACTAAGACCTACATCAATCAACCAAACTGTCAATTCTTGGTTAAAAATAACTGCCAGTCTCAGGAATAATAATGATAGTAAAAGCTAATGTTTGTTAAGTGTATACTATATCCCTGGCAAGTGAATATCTCAGAGTAAAGGAAAAAGGATAATTCCAGAAATTCCATGTTCATGTAGCATTTCCTTTATGGGAAAGGAATATCCACGTAATAGGATTTGATCAGTGTCTTATCTATTTTAGCACTTCAAATGAGCCATTCCTATAATTTATTGAAACATTTACTAAACCTTTGAATTCATATTTTTTTTTTTTTTTTTTTTATTGGCACCAGGGATCGAACTCATGACCACCTGCTTGCAGGGCAGGTGCTTATGCCACTGAGCTAAATCCCCAGCCCCCTGAATTCATATCTTTTCTTTAATTTTTTTTCTTTTGTTTTGTCTTTTTTTGAGACAGGGTCTTTCTATGAGTTCAGGCTGGTCTTGAGTTCACTTTGGAGCCTAAATTGGTCTCAAACTTGCAACAATCATGTCTCAGCCTCCTGAGTGCTAGGATAATAGGGGTGAGCCACCATGCCCAGCTGTTTCATTTATTTATTTTTAATTTTTTTTTTTTGAACCAGAAATCAAACTCAGGACCTTGTGCTTGCCAGGCAGGTGCAATACTGAGCTATATTCCTGGCCCTAAATTTTTACTTTATTGGTACATGTATCCAGCCAGGATAATTACATTCATCTTTTTTTTTTTTTGTACCAAGGATTCAACTCAAATTATATTCATCTTGAAAAATTGATACTGTACATAGTAAATTTTAATTCTCTTTATGTTCTCTTCTACTTTGCTCCTTCCTGCTTCCCTCCATCTTTTGTTGTCCTTCCCATTTGCCAAAAAAAAAAAAAAAAGAATTTTTTTTTTTTTCGGTCTTTTGAGACAAGAGTTCCACTAAATGTGGGCTGACCTTAAACTTATGGTACTCCTGTCTCACCATAACAATTATTTTTTTAAAAGGTAACTCAATGTGAATGCCGTCTAGTATCACACACACAAAAAGTTACAGATACTAACTGTTAGGACTAGGAATCCAAAACAAATGGTCTGGCTCTGTTTGTTTGTTTGTTTGTTTGTCCTTTGTGCCAGAGTCTCACTATATACCCCAGACTGGCCTTAAACTCACTATATAAGGTAACCCAGGCTGGCCTCAAACTTTCAGTCCTCCTGCCCCAGCTCCGACAAATTCACTTTCTTAACCATAATGTTTATAATATAAATAAGGTAGCCACAAGATAACAAATGTCCACTTCATTAGGATTTGGTATAATGACACCCAACATAGAATATGGTCATTTTTAGAAAACTACCCTATTTAAAAGCATTAGACATGTTCACAAGGATTATGGAATAGCCAGTGCTTCAGAAAAATCAATATTGAGAAAAACTATGAACAATTTGGGTTATGTTTCTGTATGGATTAAAATGAGAAGACATTGAGGGTATTTTGGGGAAATACAATATACCTTTTAGGCAAATGATCTTAATAATACTGTAGTGGGTAGAGCCAGGGACTTAGCTCACTGGCATAAGCGTCTGCCTGGCAAGTGCAAGGTCAAGAGTTTGATTCCCGGTACAAAAGAAAAAAAAAATACTGTAGTGGGCATGGTGGCACGTATCTGTCATCCCAGCACTTGAGAGGTTAGGCAGGAAGATCATTCACAGTTTAAAGCCATCTTGGGCTACATAGTTCAAGGCCAACCTGAACTACATAGTGAGACCTTGTCTCAAAAAGTGAATGAAGTACTTTGGCAGCACGTATACTAAAATTGGAACACTTCAGAGAAGATTAGCATGGCCCCCGTGCAAGGATGACACATAAATTTGTGAAACATTCCATATTCCCCCCCAAAAATGAATAAAATATTATCCTATATGAATCTTCCATAAGTTATATACATAGCTAATTTTCATTTTTAATGGTCATGTAAAGAAATGAAAAATGGCCGGGTGTGGCAGTGCACACCTGTAGTCCCAGCATTTGGGAGGCTGAAGCAGGAGGATTGCTGTGAGTTTGAGACTAGCCTGGGCTACAAAATGAGTTCAAGGCCAGTCTAAGCTGCATAGCAAGACTCTGTCTCAAAAAAAAAGGTAAAAAATGACAACTGGAAGTTAAACATTTGCCTGTTTTGTTTTTTTCTGTCAGTGCCAGGGATCAAACCCAGGGTCTTTCCCATGCTAGGCAGGCAGTCTACCACTGAGTTACATCTGTAACCTATACTTGTTCTTGACTTGTATTTCTAAAAATTTTATCTCAACAAAAGTGAGCATAGTTCTGTCCCTGGACATAGAAAAGTAGCTTTCAGATGTTATGATCCTAAGAGAGAGTAGTAGCACATGCTTGTTATAGTCTCAGCTATTTAGGAGGCTGAGGCAGGCGGATTACAAGTTCAGATCCAGGCTGGGCAACTCAGCAAGACTTGTCCCAAAATAAAAAGTAAAAAGATTTGGGATGTAGTTTAGTGATAGGGATCCCCTGGGTTCAATCTCCAGTACCACTTCCCAAAAATCCTTGAGAAAAAAGTTGGGTAGACTTAGATTTACAAAATTAGTAGACATCAGTTACTTAAGAAATTTTATGAATGCTACTGTGGACCCAGAACTGTGCTAACTATAAACACCATGACAAACCAGTGTTAAGACAGACATGATCCTCATCTTTGTGATAAACATTGAATTATGATAGTGCTGCAAAGAAATGAATAGGATATTTAAGAGTGTTTAATCATGGTATTTATCCTACTTCATTCAGAGCCTGAGGGCTGGTGTGATTCAGGAAGTCTCTGAAATGACATTTAAAATCTTCATGAAACAAGCACTGCTATTATCCCTATTCACCAGTTAGAACCAAGGCACAGGTTAAGTCTGCACCAAAGTCATGTACCTAATAAGCAGCAGAACCATCATTTGGTCCTAGGTGCCCTAACACCAGAGTGTATGCTCTTACCTGACTGGTGACAGGGGATTGGCAAAAATTAAAGCTGGAGAAGATTCAGCTTGAGGCCAGGCTAGAGGATTAGGACTTTGGTGTAAGTATAGTGGTAAGGAGACTTAGGATAGTTCAGGAAGATGGCAGGGGTCTGTTATTTAGTGGGGATAGGTTAACAGAAAACCACATAGGTTAGAGAAAGCTCAAAACATAATGTTGACCTTAAAGGGGCAGATCCAAAACCCAGAAAACAAATTATTGGATTCTGCTGGTGTGCAACACAGTGCCTGGTAATGATTTATTTGTCTTGGTATAAATGGTAGGTAGGCCTCAATAAACATTCTAAAGAATGATAGCCTTCCTGTAGTATTGTTGCTACTTGACTGTTTAACTGCAGTAGCATCCATTGGAAGATACTCTTATCCATATTATCGAGGAAGAAATTGAGGCCTGGAAAATTTAAGCAACCTAATGTCAAGCATCTAGATAAAAAGTAATAGGCAAGATTTGAATCTCTGGATTCAAAGCAGACTTTTTCTTTTGTTCAAGTACTCCAAGAATAACTTATTTTAGACTCGAGGGGTTTAAAGCTCTGTATGAATGTGGATACTGAGAAAACAACAAATTCAACAGTAGTTCTTAAACAGTAATATGGAGGAATCCCTTGAGCTTGTTTAAATGTAGATCACTGAGCTCTGTCGCTCTCGTTTATTTGGACTGTGGTGGTGCCAGAAAATCCAGAGCACGTTTTAACTAACATCCCAAGTAATTCTGATGTGACTGATGCAACTATTTTTTTTTTTTATCCTACTTCGAAAAACACTATTCTAGCCACTTAAATCATTAAGTTTTCTGGCTTTCATCAAGTGCATCTTGAATGCGAAGAGAACTTAGGAGGCTTTGGAAATGTAGTTGTCAACTTTGAAGGATCACATATCAGGGAAAATGTTATAAGGAAGGTAGGCAGATGTTCCTTGATTCAAAAATGTAGATTCTGGGGCTGAGGATTTAGCTCAGCGGCATAAGCGCCTGCCTTGGAAGCAGGCAGTCGTGAGTTCGATCCCCGGTACCGATAAAAAGGAAAAAGACAAAAAAAAAAAAAAAAAAATGTAGATTCTGTAAGAACTGAACAATGTTCTGGACATCAGTTTAGCCTTGGACAAATCAGTCAGTCTGTCATTCACAATACCAAGGTATGGTACTGAAAAGGAAGCTCTAACAGTAGTGAAATTCAGCCCCTGCTAACTAATTATCTGAAGAAAGCATAGTGCTTGTCTCTGCCCTCCTTCCCCTGGGGCTACCGCTTTTCCTTGCTCACTTAGTAATAATCCTGCTTAGTCTTCAGTATTCCTAAGCTCGGTCAGACTTTGTTACTTGCTGTCATAGAGACATATTCTTATCCTTTGGAGTGTTACCCATTTTGTAGTAATTCACCAATTAGAGTGATTATTTCACTTGTCCTCCATTATAAGGTAAATTTTATGAACTAGGAATGAGTATTTTTGCTTTCCATTGTAACCTTGAGAGCTTGCCTAGTTCTGGTCTCTTCTATCCTGATGACCTCTTAAAATCCAGCTAAACTCACTGTTTAATTCAGCTCACTTTTATTTTTCCCCCTAAGAAGACTTTCTCAATGAAAGGCAATGGTGGCTTTGTCTATTAGCACAACTGCTCATTTAACTGGGAACCAGTTTCAAAAAGTTCACAGAATGGCAATGTTGAGTAGTTCTGACCTAGACCATTGTTATCCCTTCTGGTTCTCAGGGGGCCTTTCTTTTTACTGGGGTTGAATTCATGACCTTACACTTGCCAGCAGGCACTTACGCCACTGAGCTAAATCCCCAGCTCCTCAGAGGGCCGTTCTAATCACTTAGCCAGAAAAGAAAAATAATTTTTTTTTAAGAATGCAGACCATACTATTACTGTCTTGCTGAAACCCTGCAGTATTTTGACCTTACTCTTAAAATAAAACCTAAAGTCTTAGCCAGAGCCTACTTTAGCACAGTATAAAACAGGATAGTAGAATAGTATTCCCAAAGTGTGGTTTTAGATATTATAGAGACCACAGAAAATAATGTGTAGAGTCATATCGTACCAATATTTAAGTTGTTTTTTTAGCTCCCTAATTTTGTCAAAGCACCCTTTCTGCTTCTTACCCTACCATGTACCTTTTTGTCACTGTTTCAAGTCTTGTTTTATTTTTTCCTGCTCTTAAGAGAGAAATGGATAGGGGCTGGAGGTTTAGCTCAGTGGCGTAAGCACCTGCCTTGCAAGCAGGCAGTAGTGAGTTCGATCCCCGGTACCAATAAAAAGGAAAAAGACAAAAAAAAAAAATTTTTTTTTAAAAAAGAGAAATGGATAAAAAAAGCTCCAACTTTTAGCCCTTTGTCACTTGCAGTAGATGAGTTTTTCTTGTCATTTGATAGGCTCATCAGGCTTTGGTTTGATTTCTGATCCCTATACCTACTACTTAGTACTTAGTTGCCTTTTTTGGACTTGAATTTTCTGCTACATGTTTTCCCATGAAGACTGAACAAACTTGCCTATTTAAAGACCTAGTATAGCACCTGATGATAGTCTATAGTAATTAGCTTTTATTTGCTTTTACTAAGTACCAGGCACTGCACTGAGCACTTCATCTGCATGATTTCCCTGAATCCACGTAACAGCACTTTACATTGGTATTTGGATCATTTCCATTTTACAAATGAAGATACTGCGGCTTATAAAGAATATGCCTTTTCCACAGTCTCACAGCTAGTAAGCGGTGGAATTGAGATTCAAGTCCAGGCTATGAGTCTGATATTTTTGCACTTCACCTCCACAGAGTACTGTTGAATATATCTTAAATGGTCTATTGATGTGAGTTTCTCTTTTTTGCCATCTTTGTCTTTTTCTAGTATCTGTTTCTGGTTTTATTTTATGCTTGCCTTTTATCTTGGAGAAGAAAAATTTTTCTGCATCCTGGGCCATTGCCTTTCTGCTGTCCACACTCTTCTTCGGGTACCCTTTCTTACTGCTTCTTGGGACCTTTTTCAATATCTTCTCTGTATATTTCCCTGCTTTAGAAAAACAGGTTTTTTTCTACTTCTTTTCAACATCATATTTCTCAACAATTATTAACTTCTATTCATTTCTCTTCTACTACCCTCTCTCTTCAGTTCTTTTAGCTGGTATCCTTCCCCTCCACACCACCAGTCAGGGACGTAGGAGAAATGTGTAATTTGTCTGGAATAACAAGAGTAAAGGAAGCAAGACATTGGGAGGCTCAGGCTAGTTGATGATTTCTTCTGGGAACAATGGCAAATTTATCTGCGGGGCCGGGGGGTGTACAGGAGTTGGAAGACAGGAAAACCTCTGGTGGGGATCTGAAAAGACTGCTGATCAGGTAGAAGTCAGTGGACTGGTAAAGGACTGCGAGAATTGGCACTGCTGGCAGTATGTCAGGTTTTTTCCTATCAGAGCATACCTGCCATATTTTATATGTATAAACAAAAGAGCCTGTCACATTCGTCCCAAGTCAAGCTTTGGTAAGTTTGTGTAGTGGAAAGACAAGGGATTAATGCTTGTTAGAACATTGTTGCAGGGACAACGTATGAGGCGATACAGGACAGAAATTAGGGTGGTGACAACTGAGAGGTTAGCGAGTAGAGACTGACCCACAGAGGTTTGGTTTTGGAGTGTTTACTTAGGAGGCTTTCTATTCACTCTGACAGTTTTTTTAGTGCCTGCCATAGTCAAGACTTAGGAGAGCCAATCATGGTGGCATGTGCCTGTAATCCCAGCAGTCTGAGAGGCTGAGGCAAGAGGATTCCAAGTTTGAGCCCAGCATGGAGAATTTAGTGAGATTCCATCTCAGAAGCAGGCTGGGAATGTAGCTCTAAGTGAAGGCCCTGAGTTCAGTCCCTAATTAAAAA